ATACTGCCATAAACACACTCAAACTGAAGCGCTCCTGAAAAGACAGTTACATGTGCAATATCAGGAACGACCTAATTTTCTTCTTTGAATGAAACAGCCACCTTTCACAAATTCTGCAAGAAAAGGTTAGATCCGAAATAGCAATCTTTCATGGACCCTCCGAAAAACTGTCCAGTGTCCCATTTAAAGCCACAAAACATGTTCAGTGAAACCAGGTTTAACTGAATGAAAATCAGTAACAGAAAACGACAAACATCAGTTCCAGAAACTCCTACGAAAAAGAAATTTAAACAATGTTTAATAAAACAGCTTTGAAACGTGTTTTCTCTTAGATGTAAAGGTGATAGAAAAGTTAAGTGTAGCCTTTGTTTGCAAAATATCACTTTCGTAAAACGCTACCCAAAAGTCTTAAGGATTAAGCCGTGTATATGTACAGGTCAGAGACATTTCATATAGCTCCCTTTCAGACGTTTAATGGAAAATATAATAACATTTTCTACAATAGCATTATCCGACATATTTCATTGAACTTCTTTCATACTTTTAGAAAGGCATATAAACTGCAATATATTTTTTGTAGAGCAAAGAAATTTTTGAATTGGTCAATTTTTCTGTGCAATCGTAGAGTCTTTGCTATTCTTTTCTTTTACCAATAAAAGATAGGCTGATAGAAGGGAAATCCCCTTTGCTCTTTTTCTGGTAACGTAATGGGGAAGTTATAATCAAAGAATGAAACACGGGAGAGAAAAAAGTGCCTTCCAAAGGATACTTGGAATGATCGGGGTGCGCCTAAGATTAAGGTGATCAGACTTGGTTACCGCAGAAAAAATGAAAATCACTGATAGTCCACATAGTTCTTATCGACCTAGCTGCTTTATTTGTAATTTATTTCTGAAATTTCTCCATCAGCCAGGAATCAAGGCGTCAAAAACTCTCCGGATCAAAAGATATTGTGTTCGTCTCAATTAACACAGACCTGTTAAGGATGGATCCATTGCAGAACACCGTTGTATTTCCTTTGCAGAATAAGCTGATCTTGGTAACTTAAGAGACATCGTATTTTTCGAGGCACAGTAACCTAAAAACAGAGTTACAGCGTTAAGAAAAACTCAATAAAATATCAAACCTCCAAGAAACGACTCTTCTTTAGTTTCTTCTAGAAAGCTTAGTGTTCTTTCTTTCGTACTATCGTCTGCCTGAGCAATCGTTTATTCTTATTCCGGCTACGTAGCGACTGCAGATCTTTTACTGTCTAAGAGTGGAGGGAAGATCGAGGAAAAAGAGAAAGATATTTAAGTACAATTTATATGATCGAGAGCAACTGATCGGGACTGTACATAATGAAACGCAGATAAAAAAATAATATGTATGCCTCTAGTTAACGAGCGTTTGTTCGGCAGAGGAAAGGTACTTTAACATCATGATGACCCAGCTAAAAAATCTCGAGAGAAGAGACAGTGTTCTAACTGACAATATTATTGTGAGGACATTAAATTCTGATTGAAAAAACTAGACCAAGAGTAGCGATTCTAAGCAATTCAATTTATTCAAAGTAAAGAAATGTGAAGATGAAGAAGTGATCACCGAGATCCGAAGCCACGACGCAATTAGCGTGGTAGTCCATTATTTCCCATCATTGTCTCCCATTATTTCACTTACAAATCCTTTCTTCCTTTATTCATAGGTAAAACTTCTCTCAAAATGTAAGTAATAACTCACATTGGTCACAATCGTCCTCGACTGATCGATCAAAACATTCATTATCATAACCATCACATCGATTATCCATCGACAGAATTTCGTCTCCACTTTTGCATAAGAAAAGGTCGTCGTAGAACGAAGTGATATTTTCTATGTCTTTGAAAGAAGAGAAAAAAAAACAGCAGACGTTCAGACTATCCTATTTTGGGGCTCAGTACAGTGGTTGTACCCTCAAAAAACGATAATTATAACAGCTTCATGCAAAATATGTTTCCTCTATGTCATAGTAATTCAAGGTGTTACGTTCTCATTACATCTACAGTTACATGTTTTTGACCTGACTTTGAAGTGTGCACATAATTCACTCGGCGTTGTTCAACATAGCAACCAGCCCTCAGTATCTAATTGTTGGTGCTACAAAAGAAATGGATATAATTTTCCTTCCAGTTATCGCCATCAAAATAGATGGTGCCATTCCATCTGCAAGCTAGAGGAAAATAAAAAGGTGCGGATAATTAACCAGTCTACTAGAGAGCAATAGGCATTTATTATACAGATATTGATGAAATACCAAGATTTTTCCTTTTACTAAAAAGTCGCATCTTCATCGCGCGCAGTGAAGATACTATTTTTATCTTTCACGTATGAGGATATTGATATCGCCATGATTACTAACATGATTAGCCATGGAATTTGATAGAGTTTTTCTCTTCTTCATTAGAGGTTTGACTTTTTGGAAGATAAAATATAAGTATTGTTGACTTTATTTCTCCTTTATTTCTCCTTTATAACTTTATATCTGAGTTTCGTAACATTTTTGTGACATGCGTTTTGCGATAGGTGACCACTTTAATTGTACTATTTTGCTGTTTCGAAAATAAATACATGAAATGTTTGCTTGCGAACAGGATTTTTATGTTTTTCCCCTTGGCAACCTAATGTTTAATTGTTTTGCGTTACTTGTTGCGTGACAACATCCGGGCATGTGCCGAGAGGTCTTGGGGTCAAATCAATGCATGACCCTCTAAGAGTAAAGGTCGTTAACTGCACAATCTGCTACTATCGTGTCACTCTATTCTTCGACTCGCTGGGAAAGGAGTGTGATTTCCATCGCTCGGGTTTATTAAGAGGTAAGCTCTCCGTTTTTTCTCTTCTCCAGTATCTTCGGTTGGTTACATTGGCCAACTTTTTATTATCGTTACATTTGCCAACTGTCTAATTTACTCGGTTCACTTCTACACGTACGGCCCTCAGTTGCTGCTTGTTCGTTTGATCCTTCATTGTCATGTCCACCGGGGTTCCATCGGTCCTTATTTTGGGTCCTTCATTTGTCAGGTGTCTCGCATGCGATGTAAGATCCCAATTTGATCCTCGGGTCCATAACAATTTTAATCTTGCGAGGACTTCGTCTGATCAGTTACACGGTGTTGGCGGACGTACTGTGGCGAAGCTTTGGTCGTTCGATCTTCACGTGGTTGAACAGATTACTCCCGATATTGTCATTCTCAAGATTGGAACCAACGATCTCGTGCATAAGAGTCCTGAGGTTGTTGGCTCTGAGATTGAGAGTCTGGTTTGTCTTTCATCCGAGTTATATAAAGTTCGCGTCGTTTGTGTTTGCCACGTAATTCCACGTGGCCATTCACACCACGGGGCGGCCTCTTTTTTCGAGCGTGTCGCGATTCTACAACAGTATCTCGGGGTTGTCCTTTCTCCGATCCCCAATGTTTTTTGTCGGTTCCATAGCGCCATTTCTCACCCAGGGAAAGATTTGTATTTACCCGATGGCGTCCATGTTAATCCAGCGGGCCAGTACCATTTATATCGTAGCTATAGGGGCGCCATTTTGCGAGCATTGCGCTTGCTTTAACATTTTTCTTTCACATTTTTTGCATTTTTTTGAATTTCCTTCCTTCCACACCTCACAATAATAGTACAGTCATGGCTTTTTACACATTAATATGGTCTTAGTTTTATTGCTTCGGGGATTAGTCCTCGGTAATTTTCATTTATTTTCATTTATTTTATTGTATGAGGATGTTACCTCCACATTTTTCATTAGAGGATTCGTCCTTCTCTGTATGGATTCGTCCATTGTTTTTGCTGTGTGAGGATTCTTCCTCCACATTATTAATTGGGGTTTCGTCCTCATCCGTATGGGATCGTCCGTTGTCTTTGCTTTATGAGGCTTCTTCTTACACAGTTTTATTAGAGGATTCGTCCACATCTCTATGGATTCATCCATTGTTTCCATTCTCTTCCCTGTTATATTTTAATTTGGCATAAGAAGGATGCTGCTGCGTCGACATTTTGTCTGACAGGCTTTACTTGCCTCTTGTTTTAGTTTTTCTCATTACTGGTATTTCCCTGTTGTTGTCATCTAGTTTTGGGCATTGTCTGGTGGTTTCCTTCTTTCTTTTTTCAGATTTAGTATGCCTCCAAAGCGCTCCAAACGTTGCGGACGCTTTCAGCAGAGGCGATTGAAATTGCAGCCGGGGACGATCATCCCCGAAGAAAGACCAGGCGTGCTGCTTCACAGCACGCCTTGAGAACCAAATTTCATCCCCTGGCAACAAGACTGACCAGTCCCCACCAACTTTAACTGCAGCTTCTAAGGAGCCACATACCCTCTCTCTTCCTCCTGATTTAGTGGAACAACTGGTCACTCGGGTTGCGGACGAAGTAACTCGACGCGTCTCTCCCCCAGATAATATCAGACCCA